TTTTTTTTTTTTTTTTTTTTTTTGTTTTGTTTTATATTGTATAGATATATATAGGCATCATATGTGAATTTATTCTGTAAAAGGAATGAATCTGTTTTTCTTAAATGGGAGTGATAGAAGCAATGAAAAAAAATAGCGCTTTTTGAGTTGGTTTATTCATTTGAAAAAAAAAAAAAATTTTTTTTTTGGTTATTATTAGACGGTTATAGGGTTCTTAACACAATTCTTAACGCTTAGCTTATCTTTCTGGTTTTATACAGTTCTTTGCGGAACGAAAAAAAAAAGAATTTTCATCTATGTTTTTTTTTAGATCCTTTTCTTGAAAGTTTTGAGCTAAAAATCCAATTAACGTTAGTTAGTTTTTTTAGTATTTGTCGATGTGATTCTCTTGAAAGAAAATAAGAGAAAAACAGGGTTAGTTTAGTTTGGGAGAGAAGGATAATATTTGGAAATTTTGACGTGTTTTGTTACTTTCTAGTGAATATTGATTGACTGTTGGTTTCCTGTCTAATTTACATAAATATCTGCTCTTTTCTCTCTTTTTCATATTCTACTACCAGAACTGTAAATGTAGTTGTTATTGTGGCTGCTATTGCTGCTCTCGCTGGTGATGGTGATGATGATAATGATGATGGTAATGGTGATGATGATGATGAAGATGAAGATGGTGGTCGGAAAAATAATGATGTTGATGTAGATGGTTTGCTTTGTTTCCTTTTATTTGATTCTTTTACTTGCAGCAGCATTTTTAGGATCGTAATTCTCCACCCAGAGTGGTAGTCTTATGTTGCAGTCGGAGTTAATTTTGGGTTTGGGCAAGTAATTTTCACTGACAGATTGAAAGCGTTTTGGTATTTCTTCTAGTGGTTAACTTGTTTTCATTACTGAAATTTGTTATGGATGCAACTTTTTTTTTTTAAGATGCATTGTTTTAACCAATTTGAACTCTCAGTTGAGATTTTTATGCAAAATAAGAATATTGTTGAATGGGTTTCAGATCTTTCAAAATGTGCATATTTCAATTCATCTTACAGGTGTCCGGTCATGTTTTTTGATAATACATTCTTGTGTAGTCCATTTTTTGATCAATATGGTATACTTTGACACTATGAATTTTTTTCACGAAGTGATCTTTTGAGTTTTTGATAGGTTTTTGAACATTCAGGCGATTTTTTTCTACAGCTGAACTTCAACCAAAAGGTCAGTGGCTGATGTATTTTTGTTTGTCGAGGAGAATCAAGTTAGTTTTTAACGGGTGAAAAAGAGGATTTGCACTTTGCCGTTAAATCACTGTAGTTTTTACTTTGCATAATCGGCAGTAATTCTATGATAAAATTGGGGTTTTTCTGTTCTCGATCTCGCAATAACAGTTTTGTAAATAGTTGTTTTTTGTTAATACAGTATCTGGTTTTTGTAGATCAAGTAGATGTTCTTTTTTTTTAGACTATTAGATAATAAACAGTCCACGGAATAGGTTACGTTTCAGATTACGTGGCCTTTGTTTAGATTACCCGGAACCAAATCCCTTAGCGTATTCTTAATGTAATGCATTG